TTCTTTCTGCCTAGTATTTATGGTGATTTTCATGTGTCTGTCCCCTGCTACCTTCAGAGATGTCCATGGTAGCTAGGGCAGAACCTTCCTTGTTTCAGCCATACTTTCTCTATGTACTCCATGTGACTGTTTCTCCACTTTTTAAATCCATTTTCTAGATTTTCCATGATGGAAGACAGTCCAAGGAGCATTACTGTGGCTGCAACACAGCACAGTCCTGCTGGTTTCCAGGCTAAGGCACTGTCACTACGCCTCCCAGCATCTGTGCAGCACAAAAACAGGGCCAGAGTCCTCTGTGGGGATGAGATGGGATAAGGACACAGCCTGCCCATCCACAAACTCAGCCCTGCCTGCAGGATGCAGCCCCAGATGCAACCACACAAGTAAAAAGCCAACAACTGATGAAAATTTTGCAGACGGATCTGAAGACATTTGTAAATTCTAATGGAAAATAACACTTGACAGTTTCCAAGTTAGTAATAATATATTTTATCTATGTGACTTTTTCAGCAAGACAGGCAATGATATCACAATTATATCTATGATATAATTGATGTTATTCTTTGTACTCTGTCCAGTGTCCTTATTTGCATAATTTCCTACCTCTTATTCCAAACCACTCATGAATTGCTGACTCATTCACCCACATATTCAAATGGACAAGAACACAGATCAGTTGGACATGGAAAATCAAGCCTTCTGTATTTAATGTATTTTCTTCTATGAAGCCAAACACTGATATTGGCCGAAATTGGATGTTTCCACAGGGAGTTTCATCTCTTACACTTCCCCAGAGACCCCTACTCCACATCTTTCAGTGCATTGCATGTCTGTGTCTGGGAACTGAACAGAGGTTGTACTTGCAGCAGTGCACAAATATTATATTCAGTGCACCAAAAAATAAATTAAAAATTGATCACATCCTGAGAAGTTCCCTAAACATTCTTAAAATAGATTTTCCCATCATTTAGGGTCTCATGCAGAACCCTGGCTGATGAGGTCTGGGAATCTGCTGTTAATTTGCTCATTAGGAGGTGTTTTTACAGTGGCTTTCAGCACTCATGAGTTTTGTGCTCTTTCTAAAACTCACTAAACTTCCAGGAGCAAACTTCATGAGGAGGGAATTGCCCACCTGGTAGATCCCATCAATCCCCTAAAATCACCACTAAATCTAGATTCCCCCATGGTCTCCTTCTCTCAATATGGTGCCAAGGCAAGAATCAAACACGCTCATGTCCCCAAACACCCCATGATTGGGAAGTCCTGAGTTTAATTGATCTGAACAAGCTTTTACCTGTCTATCCCAGAAATGTATCCCACTGCCTCTGACAGCTTGCATGTGCACCAGCAGTGAGTCCTGGGCAGTGACGTCAAGGGAGGAGCAATGAGGCAGGGAGTGTGGTGGGGAATGCCGAGGATGCCACGACAGGAAGCACGGAGACATAACATGTCCAGGTGGGGTAACTGAGGCAGATGGAGCAGGAATGCAATTATATTACCCCTGCGGGATTTGGCTGAGACTCCAGGGTGTGCTGAGCTCATTCCCATGTCAGAGGGCAGAAGTGAGTGGAGCAGGTCTTGCTGTTTGTGTTTAATCAGATAGCACCAAATGGCAGCAGCAAACATTGTGGTTTGGGGAAAGACATATTTCAGCACATTCTCCAGCTCCCTGTCCGTGTTCCAAAGGACAGCCAATGGAGGGAGAGAGAGCAAGTGAAAGTCTCTCTGGGCACCCTAGTGTAGGAGAGGGAGCCAGCTGCAAATACTTGCTAGGAAGCTGGCAGATGCTGGAGGGGCAGATCCAATGCATGGCAAGGCCGTGGCATAGCCCTGCTAGGTGCACACAGAGCCACATCTGAAGGTGCAGCACAAAACCTGTCTGCTCTGGCAGAGAAATGGGTCCCAGTTCCCTGAGGTAAGTCACAGGGATTGTGATGAGGTGCAGGGAGTGGCTCCTCTACAGCCAATTTGAGCTACTCCTGCCCAGGAGAGTGTGTTGAAGCAAACCTCTGCAGGCTAATTCAGTGTGCAAGATACAGGGCTCTTGACTGATCTCATTCTTCAATGTGATCAGGAGTTTTCCTCTGAAAGAGTTTCATTTTTTTAACTTGAAAATACCACTTCCTCTAAAGCAAAACTATCTGCGGAAAAAAATTGTTTCAATATCAGCAAATGCAAATAGTCTCTTGTCAGTAGTTTCAGCTCTTGGGAATCCTGCACAGAAAATTCAAGATTTTTAGATTCAGTAATAGTATTATGAATATAGTGAACATGGAGTAAAACAGTTGAGAAAGGCCAATACTGAAAAGTTTTGTTGCCACTGGTCTTCTCTGCACATATTCATAGTAACTCAAGTTTTGATAAAATTTTCAAAGTTCTGGCTTTGCCCCCATTCAGAAAAGATAAAACAACCAGTTCTGATATTCTGGAAATTTACACAGGATTGGGAAACACTTTCCCACTTAGTCTATTGGTTATTCAAGCCATGCATCAAGGCTCTTTGCCCTCATGCTGTGCTTTGTAGCAATGCATGCACATACTGGATCAGAACTACAGCTCTTCTCATCTTAATATCCATCTGATTAGCAGTCTGAGACCTGTGTGAGACAAAAAAAAAGACATGTTTTCAGATGCACTTGGCAAATGCTGGGTTTTACACAAGGCATAAAGAGATTGTCTCCCTGGTGATGTTTTTAAAATACAATCATATTTTGGGGTGGTAGTGGGGGGGGTAGACCTTGAAACTCTTTTCTGTATTAATAAATCCTCTAAGTGTTCTCTTCTAGTTTTGCAGGTATCTTAAGTGTTTTGTGTGAGGCTCTGAGAAAACAAGACTACCAGTCCATCAATGTAACATGGTTTGCTTACTCTTCTTCTTTCTGAAACCAATTTGGGATTATTCCTATCAGGCCCTTTGCATTTTATGCACAACTTCCCAAGTTCCATCACTTCATTAGGAAACAACCGTGTGCAGCAACACTGACAAGAGCAGGAGCAGATCTGTGGCTCACAGAAGAGCTGTGAACAAAATTTTCAAAAATTCAGAAATCAATTCTCATAGCAAAGAGTTTTGGCCAGTATCTGAAGCATCCCTCATGGCAGATTAGAATCAATAAAGGGGACCACATCAAAACCTCCTCACCTCCCAGATACATGTCCTTTGAGTGACTTCTTCCTTTTCCAGGTTGCACACTGCTTATAGGTTAAATCAAGGTAGTTTTTATTTCTCTACCTGGCAATAATATAAGTCTCACACGGATATCTGAGAAGGAAGTGAGGCTTCCAGTCTTCTATGCAAATCAGAAGTCAGGATGTTTGTTTAAGTTTCCAAGCTATATGGACCATGTCAGAGCTCTAAACTCTGCTGGTATTTCTGAAATGCCTGATTATGGGTTTCAGTTCATATCTGAGGATTCAGGTGACTCGGTGCATTCATATTCCTATGCTTCTCCTTCCTGCTTTTAAACTGTCACCTACCAAAAACATGCTGAGGTCAGGATTCAGCTGATGGCCTTGCTGGTAGGAGAAGCAAAAACTGGCCTGAAGTTCCCTCTTTTATCTTTGCATGAGCTTGGGAGTGCTGACTTTAGTGAAAACTTGTTTTTATCAGTCTTCAAAGCTGCTTGCTTGTTACTCAAGAGGCAGAGAGGCATTAGACTCCAGCTGGTTAAAGTCACTTCTCTCTCCACAAACTTTGACCCCTCCCCAAAATGCTAATTTCTAGTGCCAACACAAAAAGAGTTGTCAGCCTCACTCCCCTTACCCCTTCTGTTAGACAAGTGTTAGATATTGTGGCACTTCTTTTTAATTTCCTTTTTTAAAAAAAAAAAAGTCAATTCATTCAAAAATATCTCTTCTCTTGTTATATAGCAACTATCAACACACATGCAATCCTAAAGCACCTCAGAGTACCTTATTTATTTTTCTTTTACTAACAGGCTGAGATTCCTAAACAGGTGACTAAAGCATAAACCCAGATTTAGTGCTGAGTGTTGCTGTATGAACCCTGGGATGTTTCTGAACAGGTTCATTTGAGAAATGAGGGAAGTCCCAGGGATGGTTTTGCTCTGAGCAGTTTTGCTGGCTGTCCTCCTGCCTGTATGGCCATGGCCAGGCAGCCAAAGGATCAGCCATTTCTCTGCTGTGGGTATTCTGAGTCCTTTTCCCGAGAGGGACAGATCCAGGCGAAGGTAAAGGATTAGAGGAAAGGCTACAATGTACCTGTGTCCCCAGTAACCCTCAACTGAGTTCAGCTGTGGCAGCTGGATGTACATTACAGTAGCCCTGAAATATCTCTTTCTGTTGACAGCTGAAGCTGATGTTGTGTAGGGTCAGACACTGCCTTTGCCCAAACACCAGTCAGTTTGGCCTAGATCTAGGGTAGGTTCTTCCTTGAGGACCCTCTGAGAGAAGAGGCATGGTTGTACCAAGCTGTGCAGCACTTTAGCAGAGAGCCAGCATTTACAACCCTGACCACAGCCATGCTCATGCACATAATGGCCAAGAAAACCTTCAAGAACCATAGGCTTGAAGCATGCCCGTGGGGAAGATGACTCTCCTCTAGCTCAATAACTCCTGAAAAGACTTTAACCAGGGCCAGCTTGCAAAAAGAAAAAAAACCCAAACTCAATAACACAGAGACAAGAAGAGAGCTGATTAGCTATAACTAGGGTATTTAGCTACTTCCTTAACCATTGTCCACCCTTATTAATGGTTAAACACTGTCTGTGTCATTGTTTGCTCTTTCTTGCCAATTCAAACTCTTTCAAGTGGGAGGGAGAGTGAAGAATGGAGGGAAACCAGCACCAAAGACCTGCTTGTGTTCTGCAAGACACCCAGTTGAACAGCAGCTCAGGTTACCTGTAAGACTCATTTGCTTTCCTATTGCGGGACATTTATTTGATTTCAGAAGAATGTGAATGAGCAGAGTCCTTGACCTGGTCTTGAGACAGGTGAATGTGTATTTGTACTTATGTGATATCTTTCCCTCATCTCCACAGCGTCACAGATAATCAGTTCACTGCTTTTTTATCTCCATAATGTCCTGGTGACTTCTTAAAGAAATGAGACCTGACTAACTTGCACAAAGTCACACAGAAAACTGGTGGCAGCACAGAGGACTGAGCTGAGGATTTGTTGGCATGGCAGGTGGGTGACCATCAAATCCTTCTAGTGCACCTCTAATCTCACAGCGGCCTTAGACAGTAAGCCTTAGACCCCTGCCTTTCTTGCATGGAAGGGACTGAATCTGTGCTGGCCTCGTGGCCTTGCAGGGCTGGGTGCCCTATGGCTGTCCATGCAGGGCACGGCTGGAGTCATGGGGGCTTCACTTGGTCACAGGGCAGTGGACAGATAACTCATGTCCCTGCTCAACCACTGATGTCTCAGCTTTTTACTGAACTGACAATGCTGAGAGTGATAGATTTGCTAAACCACATATATTTCCTGTTGCAATCAGATGGTCAATAAGTTTTAAACTGAGTCCATTTCCTTACTGTCTCTCCTGCCCAGTGACCATGATGTTATGTTTGAACTAGGGATGAACCTCCTCCAGTAGATGAAGATCCATACCTAACCTGCACCTGAGACTTGAACCAAACTATACTTGACCCTTCCAAGTTTGATAAGTTCAGTCAATGTTTTTTTCAACTTTCACATTCCTCTGATGTCTTTGGGTTTTGCCTGGAGGTAGAGGCAACAAAATACCTTGAGGAATTCTGTCTTACATTGTTTTCTGACTCTGATGAAACCATTCTTTCTAATTCTGGTTAACTCTTATCATTTACAGACCAAAAAAACACATTTGGGCAAGATTCAAGCAGATACCAGCCCAGCAGCTTCAAGTGCTCTCATTCACAAGCAATCAGTCAAAATCTCGTTGTTGAGTTTGGTGGCACCGACATCAAAGGTACATAATTTTTCATTGTGTGTCCCCACTGATGTCACCATTGCAAAGCCTGATGCAGGACAGAAAGAGCAGATCCTGCCAGTTTTCACTGCCTGTATTTGGCAGCACACAGAAGTTTTGTGAAGAGCTTTGCCAGAGGTGAGGTGATGTTGGACACTTGTGATAGCACTTCAATAAGATGTGGCACTCACTAACTTGACCTCAGGGACAACACTGAGACTTTCTGGGAGTTCATTGCTAAGCTGCCATGCTACTTAAATAGCTTTATGCCATTTTTTTTTTTTTTTTACTTCTTGCTCTTTTATCTGCTTTTCCATGCAAAGACATCCAGTATGTCTCTTGGGCTGTCTTTTCTATTCCAATGTTGATCTGCTACCATATGCTCCTGAAGATGCTGCTGTGGTCCTCATCTAGCCCTGAGAATTGCCTGAGCCTTGGATAGGCTGAGGGAGGTATGAGGGCATCAGAACCACACAGTACATGGGTGACACATGTCCTTACAACACTCAAGCATGTGAGCAACAAAACATTATGCAGGAGATAATGACCCTTTTGCATACGATTAAAAAAATCAGCCAGTGACATTTCAGCCAGCCAGGATGGCTTGAGCAGCTTCCACCTGTCTAACCCTGCCTTTGAAATAAGGCCCTCCTTATACTGCAAGAAAATTAACTGAGGAGGAAGAGGGAAGTGGCAGGAACATTCTTACATTTAACATCTGTTAATGAAAGATCATTTTATCAACTGCAAAACCAAGAATAGTCAGTCTCCAGCTTCCCAAGCTTGTGATGCCACAGTGCTTCTCAGATTTGTGTTCCCTGTAGGATGACACTGATGAGGTGAAAAGGCAGTTTAGTTTCAAGAAGATTATTGCCTCACAGCACAGGGAAGATAGGAACTTCAGGGCTTGAATCTGAGCTTGACAGCCTCTTCTATGCATGTCAGATGTCCTCGTCCAAACTCCAGCCCTCCCTCCCTTCCTTCCCTGCCACAAGACCATAATAACAAACCAACCAGAGCTGTCACCCAAAGGAGTAAAAGAGAGAGCTGGCTGATACCATTTTGATGGTGAAGCATATGCACCTGGATGGACGGTGTATACAGCATAACCCTCTGTTTCCTGAGAAAGAGGTGAAAGATCAGTTATGGGACCTGAAAGCAGGGATGCCTCCAGTGCAATTGAGAGAGCTCCAGATTCCACAGCTCTGCCTCAGACAAAGAACAGGTGAGTCCTCAAGGGTGCTGCTTAGCTTCCTTGCTGGTTTTTCCTACTTCTCAGGGGAGACATGGTGAGTCTCAGTATTACCATCTCTCCACAAACAACAACCACATCACCTGCACCATGCTCTGAAAACAGATCAAGATGGTCCATTGCATGGTTGCATTCACAGAGGATGCCTCATTGGAGCCTCATCAGTTTCTTCTTTTCTCCCATAATAAAATCATGATGGAGCATGGCTGTTTCCTTAACTCATCCCAACTCACTGCTCTTTCTCCCTTCTCTCTCCCTACAGCTGCCTGGATTGTTTGTTGACACTTGCACCACAGTGTCAGTGCCACTGTGCTGCAGGAGAGGATCTCATCTCCAAACCATGCTGGATTATTGGCTGGAGGTCAGCACCTTTCTTCCAAAAAGTACCATCCAACTTTGATTTTCACCATCCAGATCTGCAGATCGACACCCTGAAGCAATGTTCTTCCTTGACTCTGGTACTTCTACCCCGATGATCAGTTTAGCTGGTAAAGAATTTTTATAACATGAAGAAACATATGAAGAAATAGAGACCTAGCAAACCAAAATATAACTAGTGCCCAGTTGCTTCTTTATCTGGCTGTGCTTTATTTGCACAAGCTGAAGAACTTCATGGTGCCAGGGGGAATGTGACAGAAGTTCTTTGCCTCATAAATTATTTTGGCCCAGTCTCCCCCTGCGAGATAGGACATGAGAGCAAGAGCTGGCAGTATGGGTTCTGCTCCCAGCTTTGGCACTGACCTGCTGTGTGACCTCGGACAACTCACTTCACCTCCCCTGAGCTTCTGTTTCCCCTCCTCTCCTTTGTCTGCCTTGTTTATTTGGACTGTCAACTCCTCAAGAAAGGAATTCAGCCTCCCTGGCTGCTTGAAGATTGCGTAGCATGATGGGAGCCCAATTGGACTTGCTCCTGGGAGGTACTACAGTAAAAAAGCTCATAATGATGACTAAAAACTAGCACTTGCTAAACAATTGTATGGGAGTTTTTAATATTAAATGTCATACATGAACTAGCAGGACATCTCTGGCAGATCAGAGAGCTTGTCCAGGGGCAACAACTGTTGTTTTGTTCCTTTTGCATGGCCACACCGAAGGCGGTATCTACCAGCCCCATAAATTTTGACATCTTCTCCCTGTCCCAGCTGCACAGTGGGAGGAGTGGGAAGGATCTGCCAGAAATAGGGAATGTTTGTTGGAGGTAATGAAGAAGGCTTCTCTTGGAGTCCTCCCCCTCGCAAACATCTGGACAGATAACAGCTCTTCCGAGAAAGATTGAAAGAGTTGGGGAGGCCTCCTGGAAAGGGCAGGGAAATGCTCCACTTTGAAGCTGGTCAGAGTCAAGGGCAGAAAGGTTGAGAGAGGCTGCAGGGGCTAATGCAGACCCTGTCACCCAGGGGTCAGGGATGGAACAAACGAAATCAAGGACACCAAAAGCCTATGGGACAGATCATCTTTGGGTGAAACCACAAGAGCCATGATTTCAGAATACACTTCTTTCAGGCAAGTGCTGCAGCTTTGAAATCCATTTAACCATATGAATGGCCTCAAGAGGTGTAATGAAGGATTTGCCATTGCATTCATGGCTCTGGAGGAGACTCCATGCTCACCCACTGGCTTTTGCTTCACTCACAGTGCCCCCGCCAGTGCCACCGCTGTCCCTCAGCCAGCAGCATGCCCTCCTCTTCTGGTTAACTGCCCCACAACTGGTACACAAGGACACCCTGATATGGCAAGAATCACATCGTTTACACTACAGGCCACTCCACAGCTGCAGCTAGGAGCAAGTCGTTTCTCTAATGTACCAAGTTTGCTTTCAAAAAAGGTCTATTCTGCTACCCTTTTGGCAGCAGCCTGCAGCTTGACCAACTCCATTGGTATACTTGTTTCCTTTTAAAATGTCTTAAAGGTATTGCATGGATTAGCCTGTCATTGGCTTTCTCAAGCCCCAGAGATACAGAGGAGTCTACTGTGAGTACTGTGGAAAGCAGCTCCTTAAGTGATGCTTTCCAGTTGACAGGACAGGAGTGCAGGCAGTACTTTCTGAAAGCCAAACCACATGTTAACCCATCAACCAGAAGCCAATCCAGAACTGTCCTCCCCCAAGTACTGTTCTCCAGTGCTTTGCCCATTTATGCCTGTGCTAGTGAAGGTCCTTTTCCCTGCCTGCCCACCCTGCAGGCACATCCCTGTGGTGTGAGTCCTTCCAACCTTGTCAATGCCTGGGAGCACACAGGGGCTCCTTCTGTCTCCAAATGCAACAGGTGGCATAACAAAGACACAGATGATCTAAGCAAATAGACTCCACCTGTCCTAAATTCCCTACTTCCCACTGCAGTAGGAGCTTTGGAAACCCAGGAGACAGATGAGCACGCGTGAAAGAGCGATGCTCAGGTGCAGGGCGAGGAGGAGTGAGGATCCCTTTGTGCTTTGCCATGGAGGGTGTTCTCAGACCTGTGTTTTGCCACTGGACCCAGTTTGCAGCACACCCTGAGGCTGTCAGCGCATGAAACAGGCAAAGGGCAGGGGCTGAATATTTCAAAGCAACATAATAAAAGAAGGAGAAAAAAAATCTGTTTTTCAGAGCTTGCAGGTTGCTGTTAAGCAGTTGCTCCTTTCTATGGCAGTCGCTGGGCCTCAGAGACCACTGCAGAATGCAGTTGCCAGGGTCTGAAGGGCAAAATTCCTGTGTCTCAGTCTACAAATTCCTCAAATAGTCCCTCCAATTTTTATGTTTTCATAAAGACACGGCCTGCTGCCGGGTGACCTGGAAGAGGCATCGCAGTGCTTTGTCAGCACACTCGCCTCACTGCAGAAGCTAAGGACCAAGTTGTCTTATTAATCATTTAAAAACTGGGGAGGAAAAAAAAATAAAAGGCACAGTTCTGGCTAATTGTAGGGGGGAAAATGAGGTCAGAGTTCATTTTTCTCTCCGCTGTCACTTCACAGTTCACTGGCTGACAAGGAAAGCAAGATAACAAGAGACTGGAGATAGTTCAGGGAACAATCTCTGTCTCCCAAGGAGAAGTGGGGGAGTTCAGGTTTCGGACATGGATGGAGAGGCTGCTGTGCTGGCTGCTGAACCACAGGACTTGGCAGAGGGGATGCCATAAGCTACTCTAAGAGGGAGCAGATGCCTTTTGCCCTGATGCAAAGGGAGCAAACATGTCTCATTTTATGCTGCCCCATAAATATAATGACATTGGTGCTGCTCACAGGGAAGTCTAAGCTGAGAGGAAATGGGAGCCTCTTGCCACCAGCAGCCATGCAGGATTTCAGGCAGGTACATTTGATTCAATCTCAGCCTCAGTGTTTATCTACTCTCTGGTTTTTGACATCTTTTTAATTTAACATCTATGCAAAAGTGTAGATTGGAGGGTTGAGGAGAGCCCTGATGCTCCTTCCCACTCTAACAGTGGGGTGATGACACGCCAAAGCTTGCCAAACCAGCCTTCCCTCCCTCTGTCCCCTATGGTCTCTCCCTCTATGAGCAGCAACTGCTGGAGTAACTGAGACCTCCTCAAGAGCATGAGATCCAGAATCATTCATTTTATGGGGCCCTCCTGTGAGAGCAATGGATTTGTTACCCTGATTCCTGCTGGGGAAGTGCTCCCACAGCCAGAATGTGAAACACAATACAGCACGGACTCTGACATTCAAGCTGGGTTATTTGAGGCGAGTTTGCTACACGGGCCCTATGCAGCACAATCCCAGCAGTAATTATACGGGCTCCTTGCACCATTTTGGCTACTTAAATGCAACTCTAGCTTGAAATCGCAAACCAATGTGCTGTGCCTGGTTTTAGGGGTATAGAGGGAGGAAGCGGGGTCAGGAGAAGGAATCACAAAGAGGGTGGCTGTTTAGTGAAGATCCCTGTGCTGGAGGATGTACTAGGGATGGGATGTTTGCCTCTGTGAGCATGAGCAATGGACTATGGCAGGTAGCTCGGGACTTTCTGTAGCAGTGGCACTTGTGGTAATTTCAATGTTAATGCTAGTGTTAAGCTTTTTGCTACAGAAGTTGAAGTGATGGTTAAAACTCCTAAGTCAACAATGCAATGTGCACCAAAATTACTTGGATTGTGCTAACAAGGCAGGAGTCTTTCAAGATGTAAACAAGTAGCACTAGCAAAATACCACAGGAATAATGTCAAGGCATTGATAGGCAATGGTTTCCGGCAAATGTTTGACTTTGGATTTACACAGGCATTCACCATTGTTTGCTGATGTCCTTACCAAGTACAAAATTTAGGACTGCAGTTTGGTGCTGGTTTTGAATTAATTTTCAATATGATTCCAGCCCAGAATGAGGGACCTGACATCAGATATCCTCTACTCATCCTGCTTCACTTCAGCAGTCTCCAGTTCACAAATGAGTGGGCAGCCAAATTCCTGTTATATTCACAGGTGGTCTGGTCAACACAGAGAAGTTTGTAGAGTGTTTTGTATCATCCTAATGTGAACACGTGCACTTGGTCAGAAGAACTGTCCAATAACTTCGTGGAGAATAACTGCATCAGAGAGTCTCTGTCATTACCACTGTTAGATTTGGGCAATGAAAGAGCAATGTCCAACACAGTAAATGCCAGTACTGAATTCAGAAATAGAAAGTCTTTCCTGAGGCAGAGTCTTTCAGACAATAAAGCAAAACCTCACCCTTAGGCTATGGAGAGCCTCCAGGTGGCATCTCAGTCTCTTCTGTGATGGTTTTAGTAGCGCATTTGAAAATAATGACATACACACGAGACATCAAGCACAGAATAGGAGTCCAGAGAAGGAATGGGAGCCATTTGTAGAGCATTTTTCTTTTGAAGGGTGCAGAGACATCTTGTCAGGCAGGCTGAGATAAAGCACTGCTTCCAACCAAACAAGGAGCCGAGATGTCTATCCTGAACGGATCCCTGGTGGGTTGTGCCTGGGTGTTGGCTCACACCTTGGGAAACCTCTGATGAGGAGAGTGGAAGGTCTAGTGCAGTTTTCCTATCAGTTTGACAAACTCTGGATTTTCTCAGTGCATACCTTCGTCTTTCTACATCCTTGCTTTCCCTTTGCCCTCAGTCAGGTATGTAATACGAGAGAAAGGAAGAGAGACTGTCCAAAACATAGACCCAAAGGTTTACTGAGAACCTTTAGCTTGGAGCTCTGTCTGAGGTGAAATCAAGATAGTGGGGGTGAGGAAAGTATGGTTTATGGGCATGTTGCATTTGCTTTGTATGTCAGTAGTTACTGGATAGCCTGTGCTAAGAAGGTCAGGGGATCACAGCCTCTGAATCTCTGTCCGTATTGGGCTCAGGGCTATTTAGCCTAATGGAAGCTATCTGAAAGATGTTGCCTAAAGGTGGGATCAAAAACAAGGTCCTAAAAGTCTTTTTCCTTCCTCAATTGAGCAAGTGCAGAGCAGGCAGGGATCGCAGGGGGAGTGTGAGGAGAGAAAGATGTTGTAAAACCTCTGGGAGAGGTTAGCCTGGTTCCTGAATGTTGCACGTCCCCACCAGCAACACTGGTGGTGTGGCAGAGCTGTAGGCTGAGCAGGTAAAAGGCAGGTGGACCATTTGGGCCAAACACCAGATACACATGAACAATCTCGAGCACAGCCAGTTCCACCATGCTCCAAACCAGAAAACAACTTCAGAACTACCCAGAAATGCTAAGATGTGAGAATCAACAGGGGATAACCAACACTATTTTCCACTAATGCAGGATAATTTCTAATTGCTTTTGCTACGGAAGTAACATGTCCGTTTTTTTTTTTTTTTTTTTTTTTTGGCAGAAACATCAATAAAGACCCTTCTGCATTTAGAGATGAAGGAAGAGCAGGAAAACAGTCTTGTTTTCAATAAGACAGGGTCTCTTCCTCTGTTGCTCAACTGCCCATTTGCACAAGGCTTTCTGGCCCCGTAGTAGCCTGTTTCCCTGGAGAGTACAGTCGACATGGGGAGGCGAGGCAGTGTTGGAAGGTAGCCTGAGGATAACAGGCGTTATAAAGAGGAATTTTTTTCCCTGCTGTTTTTGTTTGTTTTACCACAGAGGCTCAGAGGAGCTGGCCAAGAGCCTCACACAGCAGGTGCTGCCTGGGAATGCAAGGGGAGCAAAATTCCTACTAAATGGAAGCATTATTTGACACCACTGCCTTTCGCAATCTTTTTCCTTTGTTTCAGACAAACTCCAAGGCCTCCTGGGCTTTGTGGTCAAAGCTGAGTTGGACTTTTCTGCAGGGGAGGAAAGGGAAGTAGTAAGGGTGTCCCCAAACATGCCAAACACTTGGGTGACAGAGACTGAGCCTTCTGGAAACAATACTGCTGGATTCCCACAGAAGCAGCAAGAGGGCCAAGAAGAAGAGAAAAATCACCTTTGGCTCCCTCACAGCAGTGGTTTTTTTGTTTATTTGTTTGTTTTGTTTTTTGTGTTTTTAGGGGTTTTTTTATGAAGAAGAGACTGAGCCTGCCCACCCACACCAAAATGCTTTCGACATTTGGAGATCCACAGGAGCAGGTCACAGCTCTGCTCAGCTTGGCTATTATCTACCATGACTGTTGCGAGTCTGGAAGAGAGTGTAAATGTGACCAGAGGAAAGCAGGGTAACTCCTTGCCTTACCAGAGTCTTCCCCTGAGGCTCAGTCCTTCAGCTCCACTAATTTTCGTTTCTACCTCAGCTCCTTGACAGTAAAACTGGTAGAAGCCACGTGTGGGTCATATATCAGTCACATGGGATGCATAACCATTTTGTAAATGATGGATCCGTACAAAAACCCAGAAAGAAGGAAGTCAGAATTTTCCAGAAATTACAGGTTTTGCCACAGAATTTACATTCTTCTACTTCTTTACAAGCAGACAGTCTGCCTCTGTCCAAATGCTCTCTTCCTACCAGCATGTTGTCTCAGGCAAAGGCTCAATTTTTATATCCTTTTGGATACTGTCAGTTGCTGAAATGACCCAGAAGAAGGGTCCAGTGGTAGCTCATCTCCAGAATTGCCTACAAACATGCAGTAACTGGCCATGCTTGCAGTGTTTGGGTATGTCTGTCTCATGGTTGTCCTCGAGAAAAAGGAGAGGGTTCTTGTCTGCTCCACGCCTTGCATGCTGGGGTTGCACTCACAGATGGAGCCCCGGGGTGCTCCTCCAAGGCCAGCACTATCAGTATTAATGATTTTATTCCTATTCCACACTCTGTGACTCCTGGGAGGCCAAGAACCCCAGCCTAGATGCTTTTAAACAGCACTGAATGAGACAAAGCCACATTCCTTAGCTCTAAGTCTTTACAATCACCCATCAGCTCTCCAAAACAAGTTCAGAGCATGACTTCCAGTGAGACAGATGACGCAGCTCTTCAGACCCAGAG